CGGTCCCAGCCGTCCTCCTCGTCTGCTCCCCTCCGCTCCACGCCCGCCCCCGCCCGCCCCATACACAAGACCGCCCCCGCCCCCTTCTCTGGTATCACCACCCCAGCCCAGCCCCACCCCACTCCGTGTGATGATCTGCAAACAGCCTGTCGCCGCCGCCGCCGCGATCGTAACCCACGATGATTCGCTTCTGTGCTCTTCTCTTCTGGCGTGGCGTGGCGTGGTGGTGCGTGCCAGCGGCCGGAGTGGCCATGGGCCTGGGCCTCGCGCCCTGGGGTGTCCCTCCGCCGGAGGCCGGTGGCGCTGCTGCCCCTCCTCCTCCCGGCGCTGCCGCTGGGCTTCATCTGTGGGCGCGCCACTACGGCCTGCCCCAATTCCCTCCGCCGCCGCCGCCATCCGCCGCCGCCGGTCCTCCCGCCCTCGCCCCTCTACCCACCGGCCAGTCCCAGCAGCAGCGGCAGCAGGGCGAGCAGGGTCGGCGGCCTCTGCCGCACCACCACGCGTTCCCGCCTATGCCCCCGTCAAGCGGCAGGGGCCTGCACAGCCCGCTGGCGACCCCCAATTTTCCGCTGCCCATGTCCACGACCACCACCACGACGTCGACGTCGACGTCGGGCTCGCCATCGGGTCCGTCGCCCGCCTTCCCGCCCTCGCCCGGCGGCACCGCCACCAGCGGCGGCGTCTCCTTCCCCGGACTCTACGGCGACTCGGCGGCCGGATCGGGCGACGGCCCGGCAGGCATGACGACGACGACGATGCTGAACATGCCCGTGCGCCTGCCCCTGCCCCACAACATAGAACCCTCCGCCTTCTTTCCTTCCTTCTCGCCCACCGCCGCCGCCTCCTCTTCCTCCTCGGCACCGGCTTCGTTCTTTTTGACGTCTTCCTCCTCGCCGTCTTCCTCTCACATGCGGCCTACGTCGTCATCGCCCTCGTCGTCGTTTGCGGCGTCGGCGGGGCCGCTCCGCGCCGCACCCGAGGACGACCGTCGCGGTACCCACAGCTGGAATGAAGAGGACCACCGCCGCCGCCACCGCCAACAACAGCAGCAGCAGCAGCAGCGGTGGCCACCAGAGAGTGAGACGAGCCCAGCGGCGGCGGCGGCGGCATCATCGTCGGGCGGGCTCGGGGTGCAGGGCAAGCACGAGGAGCCAACGCGCGCCTCCGCGCGGCAGGCGAACGGCGATTGGGGACCGGTGGGAGCCCGTCGTGGCCCCATGAAGCTCGAACAAGTAGCGAATGAAGAGATCTCCGACGACACAGCGGAGGCCAAAGGAGGACGACGAGCTGCTGCTGCTGCTGCAGCAGCAGCGGCGGCGGCATCGGACGATGACGACTACGAGGGCGGCCATGGGCGCGGAGAAGAGCAGGAGCAGGAGCAGGAAGAGGAGAACGGGCGCCAGGAGGACGATCGGCGGCGTGGCGGGGGCGGCGGGGAGGCGTTGGGCCGGCGCGGGGGAGACGCGGAGGAGCTGCTGCGGAGCATCATGGGCGAGCTGCGGGCCATCAAGCGGTCCAACACAGAGCTCAAGGACGACCAGCGGCTCATGCAGGCCGAACTCGAACGCCTGCGCCACGAAAACGCCCTCCTGCGCCAGACCTCCTCCTCCTCCCACCGCCGCCACCACCTCTCTCCACCCCCTTCCTCCTCCTCCTCCTCTCCGCCCACGCCCACCACCCCCGCCGCCGCCACGTCGGGCTGGGTGCACAAGCCGATGAGCGGGAGCGCCGCAGATCCGGCGGATCCCGCCGCGCCGTCGCGTCTCTCGCCCTCGTCGTCGGCCGGCGGGGGTCTCGACTCGGCGTCGCTGCCGTTCGTGATCAAGGACGCCCTCAAGCCCTTCGCCATCCTCAAGAAGGTGGGCAACGACGGCTTCTTCATCCTCGCCAACCACGCCTTCTGCGCCCTCTACCGATACACCCTCGTACGCACGCACGCATGCACGCCCGACCAACCGGACCCCGCGCCCGATCGCTCTCACATCTATGCTCACGCCTAATGTGCCCTGCGTGTATTGTGTGTCGTGTCGTGTCGTGTCGTGTCGCAGGCGGAGCTGGTGGGCCAGAGCTGGCGGATCCTGATCCCGGCCAAGGAGCAGATCGCCATCTGGACCAACTTCTCGCCGCTCCTCCACGACACCGACAATCCCGCCCGAGTGTCCGACGTCCTCAGGTACACACCGCACACACACACGACACACACGACACTCACCTTGTGTCCATCCCGGCGGCGGGGATCAGCATGCAAGCGCACCACCGCACGAAGGAGGGCGTCGAGTTCGAGACGGTCACGCACCACCAGATGTTCTACGACGAATGCGGCCGGCCCTACTGGGACGTGATCTACATCGACAGCTACCGCTTCCCCTCGTCTCCTCCGCCTGCCGACCCCTCCCCTCCACACCCCGGCCTGCGATCGGGGCAGCCACCACCGCCCGCACCACACCACCACCACCACGCCTCTCGACCCTGAACACACACGACACACACGACACACGACGGCAATCGCCGATGGCGAGAAGAACACGCGGCCACGAGGGGTCGACCTGCCGGCATCGATGGCATCGGTGGCGGTGGTGGCTGCAGCCGGTTTGGCAGTCCCTCGCGCAAGGCCGAGAAGGACCGTCATCAGGCCCCGCGTGCCCGAGACGCAAGCAGCGCGGCGGCATCGTCGTCAATGGTGGTCCATCCCTATATAGGGAGGGGAGGAGGAGGAGGAGCCGTAATAGTAGAGAAGTAGACCCCCCCTCGACACGCCCGTCGGCCTTGCTGCTGTGGCCCCAGAAAACAACAGGGAAATGGGGGAAGAAATAGACTGTCTATACAGTGTTGGCGCCATTTTGCTTTTCCACGACAACGACGCCACCCACGCCGATGAAGGAGGCTGCTGCGCCCCCACGCCGTAGCGCCCGTCTGGCTGCCGCACCTCCGTACGACAAGTCAGGCCTCGGCAGCGGCAGCGGCAGCAGCAGCAGCCAGAAGAAGAAGAAGAAGTCTGCCGTCCCCGTCGACGTGGTGGCGGCGGAAGACGGGAAGGAAAAGTACGCCGACCATCGCCTCTGCCTCCCTCCAATCCTAAAAGAATCGCTGCCCACCCCACCCCACCACAGGAGGCCCTCGGCCTCGACGTCATCGCTCCAGCAGCAGCAGCAGGAGCTGCCCCATCCGCCACCTCCGCGCACCTACGGCCGCCGGCGCGTCACCGCCGCCGCCGCCGCCGCCGCCACGTCGTCCATCGGCTCGAGCAGCAACAGGCGGGTGCACCTCCC